TTGATTATTCCGTTTTATATGAATTCCATGTTGTACGAGTCACTTAGATTTTACAAATACGTGAGCCGTTCACAGCCCGGCTCATGTATTTGTAAAATCTAAGTGACTCGTACAACATGGAATTCATATAAAACAGAATAATCAATAGTGTTATAGGGGGTCGACTGTATATATATTGAAGAATTAAGATCTAAATGATTCAAGTTTCTATTCATTTTAAATCTCCCTTCTGAAATGACACATGTTAAAAGATTCTTTGCATAGATAAGACATATGACAGATTAATATATGATAAATCTATAGTTCATCATATATTAATATTTGCAATTCAAAATATGTTTTGTTTCACTAACAATTTTTCTTGTTCCATATATTAAAACATGATGCAATAAATAATATAGATATTTATATTTGTTATTACAACTGTATAAATATTTGTTGATTTAAAAAACTTATATGTCTTATAACAGGGTTATAAGGGGCCTTTCCTTTTATAACAGACTCTAAATAAATCTTTATTAGTCTCTTGACTAATTTTATTATTACTTATTTAAAGTATTAATAAAAATGTTGTTCATCAATTAATATTTCTTTTACTTTTACCTCTTTTCGCCTTGTAAGCATTAATATAGAGCAGTGTTTCCCAACCTTTTTTGTGCTATGCCCCACCTAAGCCTTTCTAAAATTCTTATGACCCCCTAACATATACAGCAACTATACAGTTAACTTAAACTCTGGACAAGTCTATTTTCAAATTGCCCCCCTTTACAATCCAATTGACCCCCTGTGGAGCGTGGGCCCCACGTTGGGAAACATTGATATAGAGTTTTCCCCCGTACCCATGGTAGATTCGTTATAACTTCACGGAGTCCCAGCGAATTTGAATTAGGAGGTCTTATGTACAGTACAGTGTTGATTTCAGATATTTTCTTTCGGAGGAATTTTCTGGAGAAAATATTTTCTTATAAAAGATTGGTTTGGGGTCCCCCCTGTTAGTGGGTGCCCCAGACAATTGTCCTTTTTGCCCATAGGATAACTCGCTCACAATGGTGGCAACCGAGTGGTAAAGGACGTGATCCAACAGCAACGGAACGAATCCGGATTCGATCCTGGATCCCCCAGAGCCGTAGACTGACGTCTTAACCGCCTCGATCGTACGGCCTTCTATTAATTTATATTGATGAGGCCAAGGTTTTATAAGATTAAACTTGTGTATTTTTTCTTGCTAGTTATAAACTTGAGAAAATTTCAGATAAATTAGATGAGATAAGACTGATAAATTAACTACAGGACTTGTGTTGTTTATATGTTAATAAATTATGAATTTGTAAATATATAAGTAGCATATTATACACTTAAAATTTTATTATAATTATACTTATAAAATATGTTATAATTTTCTATAATAACTTAAAACTTTTTCACGATAAAACTTTGAAACGGTAGGAAAACATTGAACTTTGACATATTATATATTTATTTAACAAAAGATATAAAATTATTTTAACGATATTTTTACCGATCAATAAATAAATTTCATATATATATATATATATATATATATCTTGCANAAATTATGAAAACGAAATTTGTTTACGCATTTACACATGTGTTTATGCACTGATAATCAATTGTTTTGAATGATACAGTATTATGTTTATTAAATATGAGGTCGATACAATTACGCAACTTTTAAACGGCCGTAGATTAATAAACATCAGGATATGTTCTGTTCATATATTAATTACCATTAAGATTTCAAAAATATCTCGAATCCTATATAATAACTAAATAATAAATTAACACGTAGAAATATATAAATAATTAAATGTTATGTACTAAGAAATCGATAATACTTTATGTAAACAATTACTTTTATATTAGCAAAAGAAACTAATTTTATAGATTTATATTTTTATCTAGAATATTAACTAATAAAATTCTATTAAAAAAAAAATACGTAAGTACAGATTGATTACTGTAATCTTATCCTACTTGAATACCATTGTACAGATTTTTTTTTTGTTTTTAAATAAAATAATAATAATAATAATTAAGAGAACTTCTAGAAAATAGTTACTTACCAGCTGTTATTATCGTCAGAATTCATGTTTTTAACTTGGAATAAACTAAAACTTCTTAAACGGATGCTTATATTTCATGAATTCATCTACGAGGAATTGATAAGATAGTTGCTGACAATTGCCCCGAGCATTGGCGCTTATCTCACATAACATTTCAAAATTATTCAAAATGGCGAATTAGTATTTTTATTTGTTTTTTTTTTTCAAATATATTTTTCTTTTTAAGAGTGTGAACGGAATTGAAATTACGTATAAACGAGTTTTAAATTGAAAAAAAAAATAAAATAAAAAATTAAGGTTAATTGGTTTTTCTAATCATTGTTATTTCAAGTTTATTAATGTTTTAACAGCTAAATCATTAGAAATTTCTAAGTAATAACGAAGTAATTTTTTTACTTTGTTTATTTTAAATGAAATACAAAAAAGAAATTTGCTATTTCATCTTGAAGAAATTAGAAAAATTACACAGTAGTAGTTTATCGCGACCTGTTTTCAAACGTAATAAAAAAAAAAAAAAAAAAAAAAAAAAAAAAAAAAAAAAAAAAAAAAAAAAAAAAAAAAAAAAAAAAAAAAAAAAAAAAAAAAAAAAAAAAAAAAAAAAAAAAAAAAAAAAAAAAAAAAAAAAAAAAAAAAAAAAAAAAAAAAAAAAAAAAAAAAAAAAAAAAAAAAAAAAAAAAANGTCACTTAGATTTTACAAATACGTGAGCCGTTCACAGCCCGGCACACGTATTTGTAAAATCTAAGTGACTCGTACAACATGGAATTCATATAAAACGGAATTATCAACAGTGTTATAGGGGGATCTACTGGTATAAAAAAAAAATAATACATATTTACTGCAGCTTTTTTCCAAATGGCATTTTTCTATTCACCATTATGGAATTACATTCATTCTGACTATTAATCAAGTATATAACTTATATATAACCTAAAATTCTATAACTATAATATATTAGATTTATACAAAAATTTAAATTTATAAAACAATATTAACAAAAGAAATTTTTTAAAATAGTTTTTACAGTAAAAAAAAAAAAGAAGAAGAAGAATTTTACTGCACGAATAAACACGATAAGCAGTGTAATGACAAGTCACTGAATCATTTGTGAACAGTGACAATAATCAACAAGAACGGATGTCAAGTATGACTCATATACCGTATTTATTCTAATAAACAGACTGTCTATATAACTTTTTTCAGCTATAACTTTATTAGAGAGCGACTATTAATGGAATAAATCGGCAACTTTTTTTTTTACTTTATTATTACTTAAACAATAATACGAGAATAAACTGTATATTAATATAGTCGACCCCCCTATAACACTGTAGATTTTTCCGTTTTATATGAATTCCACGTTGTACGAGTCACTTAGATTTTACAAATACGTGAGCCGTTCACAGCCCGGCACACGTATTTGTAAAATCTAAGTGACTCGTACAACATGGAATTCATATAAAACGGAATTATCAACAGTGTTATAGGGGGATCTACTGGTATAAAAAAAAAATAATACATATTTACTGCAGCTTTTTTCCAAATGGCATTTTTCTATTCACCATTATGGAATTACATTCATTCTGACTATTAATCAAGTATATAACTTATATATAACCTAAAATTCTATAACTATAATATATTAGATTTATACAAAAATTTAAATTTATAAAACAATATTAACAAAAGAAATTTTTTAAAATAGTTTTTACAGTAAAAAAAAAAAAGAAGAAGAAGAATTTTACTGCACGAATAAACACGATAAGCAGTGTAATGACAAGTCACTGAATCATTTGTGAACAGTGACAATAATCAACAAGAACGGATGTCAAGTATGACTCATATACCGTATTTATTCTAATAAACAGACTGTCTATATAACTTTTTTCAGCTATAACTTTATTAGAGAGCGACTATTAATGGAATAAATCGGCAACTTTTTTTTTTACTTTATTATTACTTAAACAATAATACGAGAATAAACTGTATATTAATATAGTCGACCCCCCTATAACACTGTAGATTTTTCCGTTTTATATGAATTCCACGTTGTACGAGTCACTTAGATTTTATAAATACGTGAGCTGTTCACAGCCCGGCACACGTATTTGTAAAATCTAAGTGACTCGTACAACATGGAATTCATATAAAACGGAATTATCAAGTGTTATAGGGGGGGTCGACTGTATTTACCATATATTATTTTAGTGCCTAGTATATTGTAGTCTGTAGATCTGTAAGACAAAAATGCATGCGAACCATCAAAAACCTACTTGATGCTGGCATCCAGGAAGATTGCTCATCATTGATTTAAAGTTAAATTTTACAAGTTTCACAAAATATTTATTTACAGAGGCTTAGGTATATAAATGAGTAAGTTATTTTAAAAAGTACAATGGTAGGAATGCAAAACTGACCTTATTTCTGAAGTAGTTTTGCTTCTTTCATTAGCACATTGTAAATAGGTCAACCTGTTTTTTTTTTGTATCGAATTAAAATAAAAAAAAAGAGAGAGAGAGAGAGAGAGAGAGAGAAACTTATCTCCGTTTTAAAGAAACTGAATATGCATCTCAGTTTTTATTATTTAAAAAAAAAAAACCTATGACAATATCAATAGTTACCTTAAGGCCATGGAATTATCGTGTCAAGGCCTTTTACACGTTGTCAGCGAATACACTAACCGAATTCAGATTACTTACACTCAAGTTTATCCACCTGGCAACTAATGTACTTGCAACATTTCGTGATTTTTACGAAAAAAACAAAGATAATAATAGTAAAATTATCGATGATCTAAAGTTCTTCGGCCTTGGACGTGACAAAAAAAAAAAAAAAATCACTAGGTTTACTAATCATCGTTGAAATAACATTACAAATGTAATTATTTTTCTCCTGTAGTAAGATATTAATAATAATCTATTCTATAAATTTGTGATCTATCTTTTGTCATACTTTCTGAGTAAATTTTCATGTATTTAGATAAAGCCAGTAAATGTTTAAGAAATAGATGTGAATTTTAATAATTTAAATATACGTTATTATTAATTAAAAGCTTTTAAAATTAATAAGAAACATACCATTGACTCATCTTGTTAATCTCACAAAATGCCTGATAAAAGTTAATAAATTATCTATTGATATAGTAAAACACATTCTGTTTGATTATTTAAATAAAGATAATTACAATTAAATTACTTGTTATCTGATATTATCAGTTTCTTGTTACTTATTTACATAACGTGTTGCATATATTAAGTTATTGTTAAATTCATTTTGCTATATTAATTAATCATTAATTATTATAATAAGCAAAATCAAATGGTGTTTAGTCTGTTGACAGGAGTAATTTGCCGTTCATTATGTTCTTTTTTTTTTTTCTATAAATGAAACATAAAACATTATCTAACAACATCCATCAAAATTTACTTCAGAATAAGTNGACAAAAAGATGTCTCTCAAAAAATATTATACATTTCTTTTTTATTAAATATGAATCTACATTATACATTGTACATCATTATAAAGATTTTAGTCTAAAAATATTTTGGATATTTCAAAATTCAAAATCATCCTCGAAAAATTCTATATGTGGAATGACTTTAATTTTGTGCGCATTATATAATAAACTGGAATGCTATTACATTAATAATAAAGCTTATTTATACACATAGTAACATTCTCAATACAAAAAAAAGAAAGAAAAACACTTATATATATTATATAATATATATAAATCACTACAAGCAACTATAGATTATATATGGAGTTTTGTTTTCTTCTTCATCTTCCCCATCAAGAGTAACAATGACATCTTGAATTCACGCATTTTCCGGATCTTTTGCTTAATCGGATACATATTCGGTAGCATCTATCGTGTACACATCTAAGCGAGCTGTCTGCCATTTCGATAGCTGCGAAAAGTTTCATCAGTTAAGTTATTTAAAAAAACACTAAGAAAATCGAGCGTAATAAAAAAAAAAAAAAAAACTTAGAATTAAAGAAAGAACTCACCTACAGCAGACAGTACAAGAACAATAATAAGAATGAAACAAAAACCTTTGATGGCCATATCTGTAAAACCAAGTTTCAAAGAACATACTATAAGAATGAATATCCTTAAAAAGATTCTAACATTCGATTCATAATAAAAGAGTACTCACTTATTCAGCAGAGATGTAATGCAAAGTATGGTGAATTCAAGCCAATAACCAAGACAAAATATGTTTGTTGAAGCACAGGATGTGAAAAAATATTGATTCGAGGAGCTTCATCCTGTTCCATTCAATTAAAGGTTCTCAGGGATATCCTGATTGTTTTTAATGATCTTAGTTTATTTGTTTTGGAGGAAAAAAAAAATCAAGTTTGATTGGTATTCGAATATTGTGAAATACACTTTAGGAGCTTTCTGATTTACCAGAATGAAAAATTTTCTTTGTCAATGTTCAATTGCAGTCACAAACTAAATTCCATCTGGGTAGATTTGGTTAAAACTTTCTGACATTGACACCGAATGGTGTACTTTATTATTAATATCCGCCATTTATATGTTAAACAAGTAGATATAAACTACATCAATTTATATATGATAACTGATTAGAATGTTTTAGATGAGAATAGTGAAAATTTAAATGACATCATCATTGCATCACTTTCTATAATCACAATGAAAGTAGTTGCGTATTAAGTAAGAAATATTACATAAATAACGCGAATTTTCTACTTTTTGCTTTAAATTTTCATATACAAATTTCTAATTTTCTTTTTTTTTAAATTTTTGGCCATCCAACACATCGTAGAATTAAAACAATTGAAGAAAAAATCGTTAACAATCATTTTCAGGCAAGCTACTATCTGGAAAAGCCATCCCTTACATATTTTACATTTTTAGAAATAAGAGATTTTATACTCCATATTAATTTTTCTAAAGTTTTAAATAATGCCCTTTTATGCTTACAGTTATTAAAACTAATTTGATAATAATCCACCCTTCCCTGAAGTCTTTCCTCAAGTTTCTCTAATTTGAATTAGAGAAGCTTGAGGGGTGTTATAAACCCGAAAATATTAGCTAAGAAGAAAATTAATGCTGCCGTGCAAAGGTAGATAAAATGTAAACTCTCTTTCTACTTACCAATCTATCATTTTTATAAGAATTCCTGAATTCAATGCTAAGCAAAATATGAATCTATTTTATGTACAGTATGTATCTTTACAAAAGGGTTGGAGAATAGTAAAGTTTACTCAGAATATAGTCTGAAATTTTAGTACGCATCCCTAGTAAATGATAATACTAATTTATATATTTTTTGTAACTTCTTTTGAAAATCAAATCATTATTTAGAGGTATGTAATGCAATTAAAATAAATAAAACATTAATAAATTATAAAGAATAGTTTTATTACAACTTTACAGAATTCATTTTCAAGTGAATATCCTATACAAAAACTCACCTTTGTCATCATAGTAACAATTTCCTACTCTATACAATTTTCCCTGTTTGCAACTATCTTTTGGTATCTCTATTTTATCTGGATAGTCTGATGCCTCTCCTAATGGATGTTGATATCCACTTTTGATATCATAAAAATATGGCTGTTTTTTGTCTGAACTTTGACTTCTATGACTGTCTACAACGTATTCGATGTTATCTTCATTATATTTTGGAACATTTCTAGAGTTAATTAGTATTTTATCTTCATTTTCCTTATGATCTCCGTTTCTAAAATGATGTTCTTTTTCCGATTTAGTATTTTCTTTAATAATAGATTGTTCGTGCCTAATCTCTATTGCATCTGTGAATTTAGAATGCGAACGAAAATAAAAATCATTGGAAAAATTACCTGATGTGTTCTTTGTAGGAATTACAACTTTGTAGAAATTTTCTTTCGTTGAAGAATTATTTAATAATTTAGAGTTTGATTCGATAATTTCCGTATGTTCGGATTTATCTTTTTCCTCCTGTTTATTTTGTAAATCTAAATAAGGTTTGACAATGGATAGAAATTCTCCCGGTTTTTCGTAATCTCTAACAGTTATTTGTTTTTGAATTTCAGTTTCTGGGTCGGATATGGGAAGAGTTTCATTACCTCGAGAATATTCAATCTTCAGTTTTCCTTCTCGCCATAGCTTTTGTGTTTTAGCAGATATTTTCTCACTGCCCTCTTTAAGTAGTTTGATATTTTCATAAACAGAATTGTCATGCCTTTGTCTCTCTTTTTCTGATTTTGGCAAATAGTTACTTCTTAGAAATTTCTAAAATAAGATAGTAACATTAAAAAGTATTTATACAACTTAAAATTCTTTAAAAGTTTGTTATACTTAAACAAAAGAATACCTTAACACCCTCTAAACTGATGGGAAAACTTTGACTCAAAACTTCAGGATTCCATTTAATTGGATCGAGTTCATTTAAATATCTTATCTGTTCTTTAGCGGCAACAGTAAGTAGATTCGTCTCTTGTGGTTCACGGAAATGCTTTCGGATATATTTCTTATACTTAATGATCTTTTTTCTTTCCTTCTTTTCTCTAAAATAAACAGTAAAAATAAAATATTTAATATTTTATCTTTGAAAACTTATGTAAGGACATAGACACTATAAAATGATTAATGTAATTAAATTTAATTATGGCAATTATTTATGATTCAATCAAAGTTTAATTATTATAAAACTCATTTTCTCAATTGCTCAACATAGAAAAAGTTATATAATTTGTAACAGAGTATGCTATTTAATACTTTAAAATATTGCATTGCAAATGAGTTAATCATGTAATTTTCATTCATTAATATCTCAAAGGGACGACAAAGATTTTAGATGCAGTTTCTAATATTTAGATTTTTTTTTCCTTGCAAAATTCATGATTAAGTTAGTTGCTTTGTTTTGTTTTTCCACTTGACTCTTTTCCATCCTGAGAGGGCATTTTTAAATACCATCATAGATTTGGCAATCCTTAATTTAAATGATAAGGAATGTGGCCGGAGTATGGTTCATCCATCCTTATTTGGTAAAATCAGCTCTTATTTCAGTTGTAGTGTTCTTTCATTTTATTTAGTGATAAAATGTGGCTAATATCAATAGCTAATGATTCTAGTGTATATATTATGTTACCTAATCTGTGTTCACCAACCAAGCTGACTGCAAGTTTCTTGCAGATTCTTGAAGAAATGACATCATTGGATGAAGTTCTTCAGTGGGCTAACTCTGTCCCATGTTTAGCTGACTGCAAAGCTTTCTGCAGTTACTTCATACCAGTCTAACTGCATAAACACTTTACTGGTGTATATTACCTAGTGTTTCTCAACTATATCATAAAAAAAGCTTATAAAAAGAGCTTTTCTGGAAGGCATTGCAACTTTTGCTTCCAGCGCATTAAGCTGGAGGCTGTTGCCCTGGACTCCCACATGCATTGTCAACATTGTACTTAGTTTGGAAAACCAACAGACAACCCTAGGGCCAACACATACAAGTCAATCCACTCACAAAAATTTCTGAGCAGACTAGAATCTAATCTGATCCCCAGAGCAGCAGATGGTTGCCTTTACTGTCTCAGCCATTCACCCATCGAGTTAGATTAGTTTAATTGATATCATGGTGTTATGATGCCATCACATACAGTATGATGCCATCACATACAGTATGATGCAAATTTGATTAAGCATTTGGCTTCCTAATTTCTTATTTTGTAACAATGACTATTGCAAAATAAGAATTTAGCAGCTGTTGAATTTAAGATAACATTAAAAGCTTCTATAAAAATATACGAGTGCTTTAAACAGTTATTTTGACAGAAATAATATACATAATTATTATTTCTAATTAATCATTTTACATGTAGTTTCCATATTTACCTGCTATGTAGTAAATAATGCACTAAATTATCTCCAAAGTTAGTAAAAAAAAATAGCTTCGACTCAAAAGAATTAGTTGTATATATAATGTATTTAGTTCTTTCCAAATCTGTCATGAATTGTATAACTTATAATTGTACTACTTCCTTTTACAGAAGTCCTGCAAACTTAATTAATGTGGACCGAGAAGGCGACGAGTTAACAAAAATGACAAGTTTTACGGAATAGTGATGATGCTAATCTAAATAATGAAATTTCCATAAATTGATGATGATGTTAATAATAATAATAGTAATAATAACACACAACATCACACTACAGAAAGCCACTATATTGAATACATGCCATATTGTTAGAAAATTCCTGAATACAGACACTGGCACATTTATTTAATTTTGGTTTTTGGTTGCTATGCCTTCACTCTGGTCCGGCATAGTACACAGCCACCAGTATCAACTGAGTATAACCCACTAAATACTGCATAATAATAATAATGGATATTATTGTTTTTTGAAAATGACTGTTTTCTTTTCAGAATTGTTATCGACCCACGGCTTCTCTAGAAAAGAAAGTAAACCAAATTCCTCGATTGGCCAAGCTGAAATCGGTCACTTCTACCCAAAGGGTCCATCATCGGTCGATAACAATTCTGAAAAGAAAACATTTTGAAGTTTCAATAATAATAATAAATTTTTGAAATAAAGAGAAAAACCGACACACATAAAAAGGCTTATGTTTTTCCCAGATTAATTCTACCACATATAGTTCCAAAACCATGGGCATACACAGAGGAATCAAATGGGGAACTGATACAACACTGCATTCTATTAATATAACTGTTAATATTTAAAAGTGCAGAAGGACACATCCTGTATCTTCTTTTTTTTTTTTTTCGGTTAATGTGTACCTACGTAGTCCAAGATGGCGGCACTTCAGTTAGATTAACTATATTTTTAGTAGACGTTTCCCTTTTTTTATTTATTTTGTTCAAGAACTACCGTGAATCAATAACTAGTGACGTTTAGCACAAGGCGGTTTGCCGGCGGCTCCCCTCCGGGAGGAGTCCGTCAGGCCCACGAACAGTCGGAAGTGCTGTCATTGGGGTTACCTAGGTACACATTAACCTTCTTCTGGAAACTTACTGAATGTGCATATCGTAATAACTATCAGCTTGATTTATAATTTCCTGATATTCGTCATCAGGATCGTGGAGTGGGTCTTGATCCACGAACTGCTTCTCAGACATTCCTAGACTTCGAAGGATCCTGCCCATTCCGGTTTTCATCACCATTTGTCCTCCTCTTCCGTATTTCAATTCTTCCGGAGAAGGTTCGACAGAATCGATGCAAATTTCTTCATATTTACTCTTGATTGTTTTGATGCGGATCGGCCTCATCTTTTTCGTATAAAAACGGATATTACATCCATTAAACGAAAGTATTGTTTTCCTCGTAAAACTCGAAAACACAATCGCAGACATTTCCACGCGATACCGTAACTACGCCCTCTGCCGGAATTTAAAATTATTTCGTGTTTAAATTTCGAGAAAATAAAAACAGTAATAAAACTGTTTTAAAATAACAACTAATGAGTAATTATTATTATTATTATTATTAAAAAAAAATAGAAAAATATGGCACGAGAGGATCGTCTCCAGAACGTTGCGGTTAGGAAGTAGGAGATAGCACGTGGATACTGACGGTTGGATGGCCGAACGGTTAAGGTGACGGCCTACCTGTCTGGGAGATCCGGTATCGATAAGCTCCAGGAATTTTTCGGGGGTGGTCCGTTTGGATATGTCGGGTCCCGTCCCTCACTACCTGGCCGACTCATTGTGGGCCTGGCCGAAACCATAATGGGCTTGCAAAAGGAGGCCCTCTTAGTGCCACAGGGCAGAGAGAGTTAAAAAAAAAAAAAAAAAGATTTAACTGTTTTGGCTAAAACACGGCTGCCGCAGGAGCATTAGCAGGGATCACCCTGTATAAAGAGAGTGATCCAAAAGTTAGCGAATTATTTTTCAAATTTTGTATTTACCGTAGAATGATGCGATAGTGGGATTTTTATTTATATTATATTTCCGAGGTTAGTTATATTTCCGATTACTAGATAGCTCCCGAGTTGATTACATAATTCGTGAAACACCTAAAAAATTATTACAAAATTTCAATATGGTGCCCATCACGAGCACTACCGTCAAACGAGAACCCCTGCTTTAATTTTCTCGATACTTCGTGATAAACATAACGCTAAAATAAATAAATTTTGTAATATAGTTTTCATTTTAACGTTTATCCTTCTTACATTTTGGCTAAGCAATGTCGCACGGATCTGCTAGTTACTAATAAAACGAATAATTACGAACTCTAATAAAAAAATTATTAAATTTTAAAATGCCCAAAACTAATTTGATTATTTTTAACAACTCGTGGAACATTTTCATTTACTTCCAAGTTCAAATCTAAAGTTACGAATACTGTACATGGCATTTCACGGATCGGTGAAAAGAACAAAACGAAGAACGCGTTAGTAGTTCTCACCCGGACTGCTCACCTATACTATCTACTATTATTTTTCAGCAATATCAATTGAAGTGCTTGCTAATTCCGTGCATAATGTCGTACCACGTATGCGGCAGTGCTCGCCAATGATTAATTACAAATTTTCAATATTGTGCCTTTTATTTGGTGTTACATGGGCCAGAGGCCAAATCAACTTGCTACTGGACTTTCTGAAAGTCACTAATGTGTATAGAGATTTGCCTATTTACTTTTATTTTACTGTTAAATACCTTTGTTTCTGTTTATTTGTACAGTTTTGTTCTTAGTATTGCTAGTGTTTATACACTATCTATCCAAAAGTATCCGGNATTAAAATTGTTAATTTGAATGTTTGAATTATGACACACAATAGGGGCACCTCTAGTGTCCATTATCAAACGGTTATGTGGACAGACAACCATTGAATGGGTTATATATATAGATTGGTGATAAGTGTGCACTTCTATTATCTTAAACGGTTGGCACTCTGGGACTTTTGAATATTAGTTGCTAGGATTTGCTGAGTGATACAAAAAGAAAAAATCCCATAAGCAACAGTAATTTTTGCAAGAACTGAAGAGTCAGAATTTTGCACAAACAATTGGAGTTCATAAAACTGTCTTGTATGATGATATTGATGCTGTGGTATGAGAAAAATAGTAGAATTAACATGTATTTATAAATAATCATTTAATGATATCTGAATAGTATTTTTTCTATGAACTAGGAATTGGATTACTGGTAATCAGTTGAAAATGCATCAGTAAAAACACCAGTAAATTCTATAAAAATAGGCTGATATTTAATGTTTTTTGAAAAGGAAGCCAAATATTTATTTGTGTTCACTTTCTTGTATATTTGAAGTGGAGAGTTAGTGAAGCCGCTTCTATGAGGCTTACAGAATTGTGTTTGTTCTCAAAATCTGTTTGATCAATTTTGATTACACTTTGCCATTTTTCATTAATTTCATTGAGGAATCCAAAAATGCAATAAAAAAAATGGGGTCTATGATCTTATTTTTCAGGTATAATGAGCAGGTGCAACAAAGTGATATTGTATGACTTTGTCGTGCAATATTACTTGACTCTGTAGTGAAGCACACAGAAGGTGCTAGTAACTACTACTAGCACCTTCTGTGGGCTTCACTACAGAGTCAAGTTCATTCTCAAAATTTAACATGCCGATTTTGATAGAACTTTGCCATTTTCCATTAATTGCAATGAGGAATCCAAAAATGTAATTAAGGGTCCATTTAAATGTAAAAAAAAAATAGGTGTCCATGTTTGTTTGACTTTGTTTTTGATATACAAAGGTATTAAAGTGATAATATCCATGCTCTCTGATGCTACTGAGCACTCCTAACAGAATTTAGGCCTAGGGATTAAAAATAAATAAAGCATTGCATGTACCCAATGGAAAATAGGTGTGAAAAATGAACGAGACACAAGAACAAAGCAATCGGTGGCAATTACTTTGTTATTGCTCACCTCTCCATGTCAGCAAGTGCAAGGATCATCTGTACCTGGCCAGTGCAAGGATCATGACAAGCAGATACAAGGATCACTTCTTCTGTGCCTAACAAGTGTAGGGATCACTTCTTTTTTTCTGGCTCCACCTCAATTCTATCGAGATACAACAGTTACACAATGTCCTAGTTTTATTTACAGTAAAACCCCAGTTAACTGAAGTTCATTTAGAATTAAAATTTTGCCAATAAAATGTTTTACATGAATACATGTAAAAGCTGCTTAGCTCTAGCAAATAATAATAATAGAAATAAGTTTAATTAAAACAATAATTTTATTTGAGAGTTGGGCAAAGTAGAGGTTACCTGTAGCCTACTGAAAGCTGTTTGAGGAATTCATTAGCTTATAGTAGATTGCAACTTCACATAAAATTTTATAAGATAAAATAAGGTATTAATATTATAGTTTTTCATTTATAATTATGATTATTTATAATATACTGTATCTGTAACTGCAAATGAATGCAAATTTTTGCAAGACTATCTTAAAAAGGATGTAACAGATTGAGTTTTGGAAAAATTGTAAAATCAGCTTGTTGACATTGTTGTCTCTACAAACAGAAATGGAAAAATTTTTCTGTGCCAACTGAAAGATTAAACTTTACTGGATTGACTCAATTCCCATGTCTAGTATGTGGAAGACATTTTAAAATAGAACTCGTCTGTAAAAAACAGTAACTAGCCTGTCATTATCCCATAAACAAGTAAAATATAAAGTAAAGTTCAGAAATTAGTTAAAAATTTAAGAGTAGAAAGGAAGAAAGTTAAACAATGGAATGAAAAAGAAAATCCATTATTCTTAGCTGTCTCCCAATCTTCATTTTGATCATAAGATGTACATTGACATGCCAAGCTCTTGTAACAACTTTGGGTATGCAGAAAATGCTTCCTATTCAAGAAGTTTCATGGAGGTGATCAAATAAGATTTAAAAATTGGTTATTCTACATGAACAAACCATGAGAAAGTAAAATTGTGTTTAAAGTGTATAAACATAAAAGGTTGAGTGTGGAGTTAATGAAACTTTATCTTCTAAAGTATAATTAAATTTCAATATAGTAACTTCATGACGTGTCACTAAATACTTGTGAATGGATCTTCCTCATAAATATTAACTAGAAAATTCTTTATTGTAAAAATTATTAAATGTAAAATTTTGTTGCAAATGATATTTTCAAATTATGACTTCAAGCTCAAACTTGTGTGTAGATTCCATTTAGTATGTACAATATAAATAAATTTGCCAAATGTAAATGTACAGTAATATCTTGACTTACGTGAACCTGGAGTTACACNGAAAATGCTTCCTATTCAAGAAGTTTCATGGAGGTGATCAAATAAGATTTAAAAATTGGTTATTCTACATGAACAAACCATGAGAAAGTAAAATTGTGTTTAAAGTGTATAAACATAAAAGGTTGAGTGTGGAGTTAATGAAACTTTATCTTCTAAAGTATAATTAAATTTCAATATAGTAACTTCATGACGTGTCACTAAATACTTGTGAATGGATCTTCCTCATAAATATTAACTAGAAAATTCTTTATTGTAAAAATTATTAAATGTAAAATTTTGTTGCAAATGATATTTTCAAATTATGACTTCAAGCTCAAACTTGTGTGTAGATTCCATTTAGTATGTACAATATAAATAAATTTGCCAAATGTAAATGTACAGTAATATCTTGACTTACGTGAACCTGGAGTTACACAATTTTCAAATCTTGTCGATTTGTCTTTTGTTTGAGCACCACGCAACCCTTGATTACTCACTCCCCCCACACTATTGTTCAGCTTACATGTTCGGACGTGTCTCGCGGAATCCACACATAGTTACAATTTATTTTGTGTTATTTATTTCTGTGTTTGTTATATCTACGGAGACTCGAGAAACTCTACTATGTCATCCAAACGAAGTAGAACTAATTCTTCTGCATCAAACAAGAAAAGAAAAACTTTATCTTTGGAATGTAAAGTTAACATTGGGTGTGTTCGTAAAGTCGAACGAGTTAAACGAGAATGACATCATCGTTATTCCTATTTCGTTAGACTATTTGAGTGATTCGTTACTAACGTGTTTAACTCTTTTGACTTTATTATTGAGCGTACCTATTATTAAAGACCTCGATACAAAAATGAAAATTTGTGAATTGGCAAAGAAGTTTGATCTACTGGAATTGACGGTCAGAACAATTATAAAAGGCAAAGAAAAAATTCTCGAAGCTGTGAAAAATGCTCAATCTTTAAATTCAAGCATCATTCATAAACGTCACTGTATTATCGCTGAGATGGAAACAATGTTAAAATTATGGCGTGATAATCAAGTAAATGTGAAAAATTGTAAAATAATATAGGCCTAATTTGTTATACATATGTATTATCTAAGATTTTATGAAACATTTTTTTCTAAATTATTGTTTTCTTTAGTCTCCAGCCCCAA